AGAGTGTCTGGGGGACGATCTGCTAAAGCTTGTCCGTAAATATGGGCTTCTAGACAGAGTATGTAGTAACAAATTGACCCTCTAGGGGGCAGTGCCACTTTTGATGGGAGATGAGCATAGACTGTAGGCAAATAAGAAAAAGGGAACGGTTCTATGAGAGAACATGTCGCCGGTGAGACGCAACTAAGAACTATTTACATAACTGTATTTGTGAATAAATTATTTGGTGATTTAAAACCATTTCTTGATGTTGTTTTTGCCGTTTTATAGAAGGATACAACTTTCAAGATGTTTGAGGTGTCACTAAAGCCAAAAAAATAGCATCAAAGACACTTCTCTGCTTGAACTGTATCTTTTCACAAAAAGCTTGTTTTCTCCATTTATTGGTCAAAAACTGGTGTTTTTGTTGAAACCAACCGATGTTCTACTGCTGATTACTAAAGAACGGAATAAGGTAGAAACACATTTTTTTTCCTGATGAAAGAAGAGAGTCTACTCTTTCTTTTGGTGTGTTCGGTGTTTACATAGTCATAGCACAAACTATTCTGTGGCTCTTGAAAAATCAGTCAAAATGCTCAAAAAACTCTGGCAGTCAATGAGTTAATAACAAAAAATGACCTTGAAGTCCTCCAGTCGTTCTTTGCTGATTCAGCCTTTTCTTTATGGAGCTCTTTAGCTGGAGGTGAATTAATGTCATAAAAATCCATGTTTTACAGTTCAGTAACCAGCATAACAGACACTTTTTGGTTAAAGTAAAAGAAAGAGAAACTGGTTAATTCAACAAGAAGCAAAAAGTTCATATAGAGATTGGGTACATTTTTGCACTGTTTGGCTTTAACCCTTTAAAGCCTGACCCAAGAATAAAACAAAACAATACAGAAAATTATTATTTTTTTGTTTGAATTCCTTATTTGGCCTTTTAACAAAATATGTAAAAAGAAAAAACATAAATACATTTTTAATATTGACCCTTTAAAGCCTGATTCAAGAATAAGACAAAACAGAAAAAAATGTTTGTTTTTTTTGTTTGAATTCCTTATTTGGCCTTTTAACAAAATATGTAAAAAGAAAAAACAAAAATAAATTTTTAATATTGACCCTTTAAAGTCTGATCCAAGAATAAGACAAAACAGAAAAAAAGTTTTTTTTTTGGTTTGAATTCCTTTATTTGGCCTTTTAACAAAATATGTAAAAAGAAAAAAACAGAAATACATTTTTGATATTAATAATTTATTACTATGCGATAAGTCCAGATTATTTTTTGTGTATCTTCTGCCCCCTGTTATCAGGTGTATCTGATTGTGTACAATAGGATTTTTAGCAAAGTTTTTACCATTAAATTAAGCAAAAGGAGTCAGACGCAAAATATTTCAGAAACCGTATCACATATTATACATTTGGCATTACAGGGTTAAGTGTCTTGAATAGGAATCAAATAAACACAAAAATGTATTTTTATCATATTTTATATTTCTTCTTTCAAATTTCACTTAACATGTCCACTTCAATATACAAAATTTTATACAAAATCTAGTCATAAGGAATTATTACATGATACATGATACATTTGGCATTACAGGGTTAAACTGCGTTTGTGTCCTTATTTGAATTGAATTTGGTTTGAAACATTATTGAATATGTTATTTTCTGCAGCTTTAATAGATTTTAATGTAAATTATGGTGGTCTACGGGTCTTAAGCTGTCAGAATAAGTACTTTGTTCCGGACCGTTGGTTTTTATTTGCTCATGTATGTGCATACCTGGAAATGGCCTCCGAAACAATAACAGGAGCAGTTTTCTGTTCTTATATCGCTGATGGATTTTATTTCTGAAGCTTCACCCTCAGAGAAGAAAGCACCAAACTGTTTCTTTAGGTCAGTGTTTTTCAACCACTGGTCCTCGGTACACTAGTGTGCCGTTAGTGATGGTCAGGTGTAGAAAATCATCCTATTTCACCTCATTGGTCTAAAAAGACTTTTTGATAAGTAATTAATTATCTGCAAATAATATTCCATTTCTGAGTGTGTGTGCTGTTATAGTGACTGGTGGAGTAATCATGTAATAATTCCTTATGACTAGATTTTGTATTTAATTTTGCATATTGAAGTGGACATGTTAAGAGCAATTTGAAAGAAGAAATATAAAATATGATAAAAAAATACATTTTGTGTTTATTTGATTCCTATTCAAGACACTTAAGATAAGATAAGAATAAAATAAGAATAACTATAGTGTTACTATAGGCGGATACAGATTTGTTTAACATTTTTGGTTGGTGGTGTGCCTCGTGATTTTTTCTATGAAAAAATGTACCTTGGCTCAAAAAAGGTTGAAAAACACTGTTTTAGGGGTCCACAGACTCGTCTTTTGGGTTGTTGGTTCCCTCAAAGGTTCTGCTCTGCATTGACTAATGGGAACATTAAAGCTGTTTTTTGGGGCTTTTAAAGCTATTTTTGGCCTTTAAAGCTGTTTTTTAGGGCTTTTAAAGCTGGTTTGGGGCTTTTAAAGCAATTTTTTGGCCTTTAAAGCTGTTTTTTAGGGCTTTTAAAGCTGTTTTTAGGGTCTTAACCCTATAAAGCCAAATGTGTCATATCTGATCCGGTTTCTTTTGGATGTGAGACTTTCTGCATCATTCAGTGGTAAAAGCTTTGCTCAAACCCCTGTTGTACACATTCAAATATACCTGATAACAGCCAGTAGAAGACTACACCAACATAGATTTCTGACTTATTGCACGCTAATTTGATCAAAATAATTTCTGTTTTTTTTCTTCATATGTTGTTGAGGGGCCAAAGAAAGACTTCAGACTAAAAAAATCCAATATTCTTCCTATTTTTCTTGGATCAGGCTTTAAACGGATAAATGTTTTTTAAAAAAAGGGTTTTTTTCTCGTTTTTAAACCCTATAATGCCAGATGTGTCATATTTGATACATAGGGTTTCTGAAGTCTTTTGGATCTGAATACAACAAAATATCTTTTTGACTTATTGCACGCTAATTTGATCAAAATAATTTCTGTTTTTTTTCTTCATATGTTGTTGAGGGGCCAAAGAAAGACTTCAGACTAAAAAAATCCAATATTCTTCCTATTTTTCTTGGATCAGGCTTTAAATGGTTAAAGCTGTTTTTGGGGGGCTTTTAAAGCCATTTATTGGCTTTTAAAGCTATTTTTTTGGCCTTTAAAGCTTTTTTTTAGGGGTTTTAAAGCTATTTTGGGGGCTTTTAAAGCTGTTTTTTGTGCTTTTAAAGCTGTTTTTTGTGCTTTTAAAGCTGTTTTGGGGGTCTTAACCTGAAAATGCCAAATGTATCATATTCAATAAGGTTTCTGAAGGAGAAAGAAGCTCAGTGGACATGAACGCGCTCCTATTTTTGACACTTTATAATAAGACGTTGGAACTCCTGGAGCTGGAGGAAATGACTCGAGTCGAACCAGCTGTGATCCATAAAAACTCTCCTTGTTTCTGGGTTTGGATTTTTTCCGTGTGCAGGAGACCTTTTGGTAGGATGCTGAGCTGCAAACACATAAAGACTTAAACAGGAGAAGTAAACAGTCTGTGAGAAAAGAAGCTTCTGGTTCAGTCTTAGATCTAAAAAGCTCTATCTGGTTTAGTTAACAGGAGTTAAAAAAACAGTTGAAGCTTCATTTCAGCTCCAGGCTCCTAAAATCTGGATCAGACTTCCTGAAGACGTGAGACAGAACCCAACTCTGGATGTTTAAATCCAGATGAAAACATCTGTTTAACTCTGAGGATGGAAACTGGATGGATTTGATGTGCAACCTTCCCTTTTCATCTATTTAATTTTTATAATTTTTAGATAATCAATCAATCAATCAATCAATGTTTATTTATATAGCACTTTACAACAACCGGAGCTGACCAAAGTGCTTCACAGTAAAAAAAACAGATCAAAATATCAAAATATACAAAGACAAATACATTGGTGACAGAACCCAGTTTACACAGATTTTACGTGAAAAACGCCATTCTGAAAATGATAATAATAATAACAATAATAATAATAATAATAATAATAATAATAATTTTGAATAATAATAATGATTTTGAACAATAATAATAATAATAATTTAAATAATTGTTATTAATTCATGTTTTTAATATTATTATATATTTTAATTATTATTATTATTATAATTATTATTATTTATTTATTTTTTCTTCTTATTATTATTTTTATTTTTATTTTTTTTCTTGCTTTTCTGCTTTCAAATTTTCCGTGAAGCACTTTGTCTTGTACCCGGAATGTGCTGTACAGATAAACTTGCCTTTCCTAAACAGAAATGTGATGCTTTTTCTTGCTTTTCTGCTTTCAAATTCTCTGTGAATCCCTTTGAATTGTCTTGTACAGATAAACCTGCCTTTCCTAAACAGAAATGTGATGTTTTTTGTTGAGTCATCATTTTCCCACCTCTGACTCATTTTTCCCCCTCAGATTCCTAATGATAATAATAATAATAACAATTTATAATAATAATTATTATTATTTTAATAATTACTGTTATTAATTGATGTTTTTATTAATTATTATATATCTTTTTTTTTTATATATCTTTATTATATATCTTTATCTTTATAATAATAATAATTTATAATAATAATTATTATTATTTTAATAATTAATGTTATTAATTGATGTTTTTATTAATTATTATATATCTTTATTATTAATATTATTATTATTATTATTATTATTTATTTATTTTTTTAAATTATTATTATCATTATTTATTTATTTGTCTTGTTTTTCTGCTTTCAAATTCTCTGTGAAGCTCTTTGAATTGTCTTATACCCGGAATGTGCTGTACAGATAGTTTTTTTGCTGAGTCATAATTTTCCCACCTCTGACTCTCGTTTTCCCCCCTCAGATTCCCCCCCCAGAGGCCACCAACCGGACCCCTAAACCCAAAGTCCTGGTCACCAGGCGGCCGCACCCGACCCCTCTCCCCACGGAGACCCAGGACAGCCACAACCAGTCGCACCTTCTGGACCAGCGGGACTACTCCACCGAGCTGTCCGTGACCATCGCCGTGGGCGCCTCCCTCCTCTTCCTCAACATCCTGGCATTCGCCGCGCTCTACTACAAGAAAGACAAGCGTCGCCATGACGTCCACCGGCGATGCAGCCCCCAGAGAAACGCCGCCAACGACCTGGCCCACACCCAGGAGGAGGAGATCATGTCCCTGCAAATGAAGCAGCACTCGGATCTGGATCGGGGCGTTGGGGTTGGGGTTGGGGTTGGGGTTGGGGTTGGGGTGGGGGGGCACCACCCGACTCACGACGTGGTTCTCCGGACGGCCTGCCCCCCCGACTACACGTTGGCGATGAGGCGTTCCCCCGACGACGTCCCGCTCATGACCCCCAACACCATCACCATGATCCCCAGCTCCATGGGGGGTTTGGCCTCGCTCCACCCGTTCAACGCCAACTTCCCCGGAAGCGGGCAGAACAACACCCTCCCGCACCCACACCCACACTCGCACTCCACCACCCGGGTATAGCCCAATAAGCCCACTAGCACGGGCCTATCGGGGGGGGGGCGGGGGGGGATGCCCGCCCTCCGTCGGCCCGGGGTCACTATGGGAACGAACCACTCCCCCGGTACCAACCGGAGGGAATATACCGCCGGTTTTACAAACGGTTTGGGGAAAAAAAAGAGAAATAAATATGTTTTTGTACAAAAATAAAGACAAAAACACACAAGGATTTGGAGGGAAAAAACGGACTCTCGGATTGCGGAAACAATGCAAAAAGGATGTTTTGGATTGGATTATCTCGTTCTGGTATTGCTTAAAAAAGAAAAAAAAGGTCAAAGGCTTCTCCTCTCCAGATTCGGCCTTTGGGATTCTTTAAGGTGGACGCAGAGTGAAGCCTCGGACACGACTTTGGAGGGGTTCACTTTGCAAAAAGAGGGAACAGGCTTTGTTTTCCAGCCACGTTCTTCCTGTTTGGGCTCAAAGGAAATGTAAGATACGGCAAAAACGAGCTCCAGAGCAAAAGGACGGACTTCACCTCCAAGAAAAAGAAAGCCTGTATGCACAACAGAACTATTTTAAAGAAAAACAAAAAAAAACCTTGCAGATACTTTTCATCCATTTATTTTTGAGGATGGGAAACAGTTTTATTGTATAGAACATATTTACATATCTAGATCTGTACACCAAGCACCAGGGGTTTTTCGGCCCTTTTCTCTGGAAAAAGGGCACTGGGATTCGGCCAATGGGACAAAACCAGGACGCACACCCACCCACAAACTGGCAACTTCAACACAAAGAGCTGGGGGAAACAACGGAAAAATTGGATATTTTAGCACGATGCGCATGACAATTTATCTGCTTGATGGCTGCTCTGCTGATTACGTCATTATTAAGAGTCATTTTCACCCCGCTCCTTGCATCGGAGAAATTCCTAAATTGGATATAAGCAAAGCCCCCCGGGACCCGGAGGCCCTAACCCTAACCCTAACCCTAACCCTAACCCTAACCCGGATCGGACCAGGAGTGGTTGGGGCTGGGACATGTGGTAAAACCTAACTTGCATAACATAATATAACTGGGGCGTATAAGGACTAGTTTTGTACTCTGTGTGTTGGTACTACTTTTTGATAGTGATTAAATCACATGACATTGTATCAATCAATCAATCAATCGATCAATCTCATTGTACCTTCAGTTGAGATCAATGTTCTTTGCTGTTCTACCGTTCGGAGCACTATACCTTATCGAAGTAGTTACCTGCACTGTTTATGCCATCGCCTCCTTTTTGGGATTGTTTTATTCTCTTTTTCTTTTGGCTGGGAGGCGTCGACTGATTTCCCACTGGGGGAAAAACCGAAGGATCCCTGGTGAGAAAAGCGGGAACCTCGTG